CAAGTGAAAATGGAACATCATTAAGTCCTAAACGTCATGTAAAAAGTCGAAAGAAGATGGGTGTTTATAAAATCTTGGTTTTCAAGTTATAAAATGAAATCACCTAATTGTTATTGGCAAAGAAAACCAACGTTTTTTGTGAGACACGAAACGTTTTCTGTAACATTGCAAACAATTCGTTAAATGCGAGATCAGTGTTTTTGAATATGAAAACAGTCTGTTCAATGAGAAACTATTGATTTCTTGGGAGGTCAGCAGGTCAAATTGAGAAAAACGGCTGAGCTTTTTCTAGTTGGATTAAACACTGTAGTAGTAGTGTTTCAAAGTATGAATAATCACAGTGACGAAACAAAAGTTCGATTTGTACCTCCTGTTGTTAAATTATTTTAGACGCCGAGCGTTTATACCTGTGCGTGAGCTAGTGGTTAGCGTATCTGGGTACGATTCAAGGTTCGATACCCGAACCCGCTGAGCACACTCCGCTCTTTCGGTTTGTTTGTTTGTTTGTAGTTAAGCACAAAGCTACACAAAGGGTATGGAAATCCGGTTTCTAGCGTTGTAAGTCCGCAGACATACCGCTATGTCACTGGGGGTGCCCGCCTTTTCAGATGTGGGCACGTTATAAAAGTAACACCAATCTCATTATTCGCTTCCATTAACTGGACAAAGCCATTTCGGCGTGGGTATCGCTGATTGGCTGCCCTCCTTCTGGTCAATAGTTCATAATCAGGGATGATTACATCTGAATTCTAGGGGTATCTCTAACACGGCCGTTTTGTCCATAAAATGTCTTTCAAGCGTGGAACAATATTGTTCAATAATAACCTTGATGATTCAGTCAAAAATTACCACCGACACAGTTTTAAAACATTGGATTTGTATTTCAAGGTCAACGTTTTAGCTATAAAAAAAAATCCCTTCGTGTTAAAATCATTGATTACAACGAACCATAAATAGGTTAACCGTTTGTTGTAGCTGTAATGAAAGGATTTAGGCCTAATCGTAGAAATCTTCATTTAAAATAAACAATGCTCCTCTAGTTTCTAACTGATCCTTTGATGCAAGACACGACTAAATATAAAAGGTATTTTATTTTTTTTCTCTGTGTGTGTGTGTGATAAAGGGCATCACTGAGTAGCCACTTATAGTCCTGTAGAGAAGGTTTGGCGATCGTTTTATAGGATTTGGGGCAAAAATAAACAAGCACTTTGCTCTGTGGAACTAGTTTGATTGGGCAATAACTTCTCTGCTCACTGCTACAAACAACCAAAAGAAGAACTAATAAGCTGCTTGTTCCGCTAAACGTAATCTGATTTCTGGTTATTTATATAAGTTGTTGATCATCGTTTACACATTTCTTTTATCTTTAAAAAAATTATAGATATTTTTTTTGGAAAAACCAAAACTAGTTTAAGCCTAAGTTATATTACTGCATGATATTTGTAGCAGTCTTCACTCTACTGGTGGCTGAGGAAGGAGGCGTGGTCTTTTGGCAAGAGGGTCCAGAAATAACGACGGAAAGGTTTTTTTTTTTTGTCTTTCGCGTTTACTCACTCTTTAAAAGCATTTTTTTATTAACAAATTATTTTTAAAAAGCATAAATAATGTTGATTTTGTGTGAAGA